CTTAGACAAGGTGTCAAATGCACATTTTTACTCAAGAAAAATCTTCAGTTTTGCATTTCAATGCATTGACTTTAATGGTCAATGGTGTGTCATAAAGTTACTGAAGGCAATATAGAATGAAACTGCATGCTGTTTCTTAAGAGCCCTTGATAAAGTTGTAAATCTGTATCCAAGGCTGTCTTTTGTGAGAAAACCCAGAACCTGACATGTTTCTCTTCCAGCTTGTGTGTTTCTGAGTGTGCGTGGGAAGAAGCAGGCTGTTTGACAGTCAGGGAGCAGCTAGTGTAATCACGGCTGTGGGAGGAGGAATAACGACTTCCTTTAGGCCTCATCATCTATCTTTATTTACCTTTCCTTCTTACCCCTTTCTTATATAAACAATCTAATAAAATGAATACAGATTCCTGTGACCTGCAAATAGTGAGTATATCTACTACATGTCTGGGAATTGTATGCTAATAGCAGAATGGAAGATGTATTATGAAGAATTTTGGTGGTGTTCAGACTTTATTTAAATTCAATGCTCAGTTTGAAATTTGACTTGCATCTCTTCACTGATTAGCTTTTACCTGATAAACAACATCAGGAAATGCTCCAGAAGAATTTCATCGTTCATTCTCATTTCAAACAGCAAATGTAAAACACAGAGGGAGAAGCTGCTTTGTATACACAACTTCTCACTTCCTGCTTTTGGGTGTGCATCACTGCTTGTCTTCATTTTTTCCTTGTTGTTAAATATTAATTTTTTTCCTCATGATCTAATAAAAAATGTTTATTAGAAAATCTTCTAATAAACATTTTTTATGCACCACTAGCTTGATGCAGTTTATGGAATAATTGATATTTAGGAGTTGTGGCAGTTAGCTCAAGAAAGTTTGATAATTACATGTAAGGTAACATATTTCAACTAGGGTTAATCAGTTTGGGAAAAAGTGCTGCTATTTTGGAGATTTTCTACATTATTGTAGAATCCAGATTCACAGTGATTTGTTACAAAATAACTTAGTAGTTTGTTCAGAGAAAAGACAATTTGACAAGTTAAATGTAGTACATATCTGGATTGTGAATGAAACCAGAAGTGTATTATCACACTTGGAATTCCCCATTCATTTTTCATTGCTTATATTGTGATTGTTTGCTAACAAGAAGAGAAACAACTGGAATCCAATATTTAACTGGTTTCCAATTAAATATTGGAATCCAATATATAATTTAATTTCCTTTGAGTCCATACCACTTCTATCTGATTGGGAACAACCTTTTGAGAGCTTAAGGCTACACAGTTTTTTATCCACATAAATATTGTTTGAACAACATAAAAGCATAGTTATGTTAAATGTTAAAAGTGTTTTCAGGTTGACCCCAAACCACTTTACACTACAGTCAGTCAATTACCCATTTGCTCACACATTCATATACTAATGGTAAAGATATGTAGAGTAAGTAAGTTCTTAGTGGGATTATGATAGTTTGCTTTATTGAAATATTGTGCAGCCTATACTGCATTGTAAAAAATGGACTTGTGATTGTTTTGTCTGAGTTTCCCAAGACCTCAGATGATCCAATGTGTTAAGTCCAAGTTTGAACTTTCTCCTCTGGCCTGGATGATGAATTTTGGTTTAGTAATTGCATCTCTTTCATAAAGCATCTGGAAGTAATTGTCAAACTGGCTTGCTCTTTTACAGGGAGATGGCTAAATTTCTAGTTCATTTTGTTGCTTGTAAAAAAGCAACAAAATGTTCTGATGTTGCTTTCATAGTAGCATAATAAAGTGAAGGAGTGTGAAGGTGTTTATTTTCCATCTGTTTTGTATCATCCTGTTCTACTTTCACAGACACCTTGTCTATGTCTGTGTTTCTTCCTCTTACTACTTAAAATGGCATTTGTTTCTGTGTCCATAATGCTTTAAAGCCAAACATGTCATATTTTAGTTCTGTTATTGAGCTGACTCGTGACTCACATTTTTGTCAACTTCAAAATAACAGCTGTAATCCTGTTGAAGATCCTTTATTTCACAGTCAAGATGTTGCTCAGGAATCTCACAGTAACTCAGAGGAAAGAAAAAGGGTTTTAAAGACGTACTTTAACTCAAAAGTTGCATTTGATCAAAGGAAAGATCTATAGCCGTCATTTGCACATACACACTGATCTGTAAGAATATTTAAATCTCTGACATGGGATTTTGACAACATAATCCAGCTATATTGCTGTGTTCTTTTGGGAAATCTCAAGATGTGATGTAACGAATAAGTTCACAAGAACTTGATTAAAACAAATTTGCAGACTTAGAAGAAACTTTTTAACGTTTTAAAAGTTAATTTAAAAAAATTCTAATTATTATTTCAGATCATACCTACTTGTATGAAAACAGGTGATTGCTGTGGACTATCCAGCTCCTGGGTAATGAAATTATTCTATTGTTCTACTGGAAACCTGAACAGCTTGGTTATTTATTTGAGAATGTTATGTTGGATTGGCCATTCTGGCCTTGCTCTACAGATACATACAAAAGAATTCACTGAGCAGCTCCAACAAACAAATCAATATGTACTGTGCCACCCCCAGGCACTTTACACATAGGTCAGAAATGATATGGACCACACTCGCCAGTGGAATAAGAGTTTCAGCTGGGAAGAGGTCTGCTCACCTGCAAACGGCATGCAGGCTTGGCTGTGTTAGTTTCTGCAAGACTTTTTAGTTTTTAGGCTACATTGTTACTAGTAATTGGACCTTAAATTTTTCAATACATAATTTTAAAGAGTAGTACTCGTGACAAAATAACTTCAGGCTTTAGAGCCTTGTTGTGAGTGAATCACAGATAGAAATAAAACATACTGCAATGATCTAACTCCACCTGCTAAAGTTACAGTTATCATGGGGTCTCTGCAGAAGTGCAGAAACTTTCCACAGTGGAAATTCTGAGTAGCTTAAAGAAACATCTTTGTGCAAAAGTGTTTCCCATAAGAGTGGCTTTGCAGAAATATGATCTGGATTGCAGACGGTGAAAAACCTAGTTGGTTGGGACTGTAACATTGTAGAAGCCTCATGATTTTTATTCAAGCTATTCCTGAATGGTCACAGGACTGTTTAAATCTGGTGTGAAGAGTTCTATACCTGCATCACTACTCAACTTGTAGTTTTATTGTTACAATGGATTGGTGTCCACTCACAGAAGAAAGACTATATCTTGTTGTGCTGTTCCCTTCATCATGTCTCCAACCTGCCTGTCAGGATGGTTAATTAGCCTCTACTAACCTGAAAGAGCCATCTCTGACAGGCCATCAGTCATTTACCCTTCTCCTGCAGTGTCTGACTGGCTCCTTGTGTGCAAGTGTGTGTTTTGTGTGTGTGTGGAGATGACTGACACTGTGTTGCCAGAAGGTGCTTAAGGAGCGACAGATGCTAATGTGGCTTCTTTCAGGTTCCTTAAGGCAGGCCAAGGTTTAATATAATCAGGTGTCGAGTTGTTATGCTGACTCTAGCCAGAGTCACAATTCCAGTCACTTTGACGCACCTGTTCTTTCCTTATTAGGGATTGAGATTCATTCAGCAATATGCACTAAAGTCTGCAGGATTGGCTGCTTATAAAAAACCAAAATTAATGTTCTACAGTGACCAGATATTGCAGTGAATCATAAGAAAAGCAGTGTGGTAATTTTGCCCATAGTTCCATAGTCTGAGCTATGTTCTTAAAAGTTAATACTACCTTTAGCAAAAACTTACAAGAGTCCTATGACTAGAATGCTGTCTAAAATGTTTTACCCTCATCCTAAGATGGCTTACTCTGATCATCAACATACAGCAAAAAAAAAAAAAAACATAGATATTGACATAGATACCATTTTCGGTTCCAGTTATTCAAAAATGTATTTGTAATGTAATATTTGTAAAATGACACTTTTATCAACACAGGAAGTGTTCTCACAGTTGCTATTGTGTGATGTGAAAGTAGACTGATATTTCAAACCAAAATCTAAAAAATTAAAAAAGGTACAATGCCCCGTTGCAAGAATAAAAATGAAGAGTGAATTTGACTTTAGGCATTGCAGTGAGTCCACAAACTGAGGTTACCTATTGAGGAATGCGGGCAAGAGATGTAATTACAATCTGGAAAGTTTTGTGAGAAAATGTAAACATATTACCAGTTCAAGATATTGGGTGCTGTTAGGATTGACCAGAAAATAAATTGAATGAAATGTGGTTTCATGGAATCCTTTCGCAAGAGTGTGCACACAAATACTTTAATTTGTTTTTCAACTGAATTGTACAAAATACATGACATTAAATATGGAAGATTTAATTAAATAACTTATTGTCGTCTTTTTATGCTTGAAATCCCTTGAATTTTATTTTTCTTGTGTAGAATTTTTAAACTAATTGCGTCCACAGAAAAATAAAGCGCCTCTCCTTATTCAGTAGGGAATAAAAGCACCAGTGATTTAAATCGTATTTATTTAGTAATATTTCCTGTTCTGGGGCTTGTATTCTGTAGATGCCCTCTTAGATAACAATTTGCTCTCGGTATGGTGTGATTAAATGAAAAAATTTTGTGAAATTAAAAATAATTTTGACAAGTTGAGTGATGGAAAAAATACAATGTTAGACTTTTAATTAAATATTTACGACAGTTAGGAAAACGCCTGTCCGTAGATGAGAACTGAGTCCCAAAGCTCGTTGTTACTGGAGTGAAGCATTTCTGTGATCCTTATCTCAATTCTCTGTGTGTTCCACTGATTCACACTGTAACAGCTATCTCAGCATTTTAATGTCAGTATTTTGGTTTGCATGGTATTGTAGTGATCCTACTGCATGTTCTTTTTATTGTTTCATTAATCACTTGTTTTGTTTTTTTGCCTAGAGGCATTCTCGTGTGCAACTTTTTATAAGCATGTTTTTGTTATGAAGCTTTTTTAGCCACTTATTATTTCAGAAATTACTGTCAGTATGTAGCTTTTTTATATTTTCACTTGTTAAAATGTTTGGTTTCTTTCTGCTCTTAGGTTTTGGAGGAGCCTTCTCTTCTGATGTCCAGTCCCCGGATGCTGCTCCCAGCGTCGGGCACGCTCCCTCCTGAGGCTCCATTGTCTGTCCACCACCAGATCCAGCTGCTCCAGCAGCAGCTTCAGCAGCAGCAGCAACAGACTCACGTCGCTGTAGCACAGGTACGGACGGCTACTTATGTACATTCCTCTGAAAATCTAGACATCGTCACTATGATCAGGTTTGTAAGAGTGATCATGACAGCCTTTCTTCTATAAGCACTTTTGTAAAGCTAGATTTTAAAACAAAAAGAGACAGAAATTTCTGTTATGACTTCATTTCACCATAAGTCTAAGTCTACACTTGAGCTGTACAAACATTAAAGAAACCTTATTAGCAGTTTGAACACAATTGAGTTTCTGCATGTTGCACTTTTGATATTGAGGGAAGTTGAGGAAGAAATGTATAATTATTTAAATTGGTTTGTTTTTATGATTACAAATGTGGTTTGCTGCTAAGATACTTCTACAGCATGATACTAATTGAAATGGATAGAAGACTGAAATGTACTGAGGAATTGACTGATTTTACAGCTTGAGCATCTACAGTTGAAACAAGAGCAAAAAACCTGATTTTTGATTCATGAGTCGAATCAATTCCCACAACACTCCCACAGTGATAGGTTATTCTGACTCTAAAAAACGTCAAGGCTAAGAAACTTCTGCTTCACACCTGAACAGATTCAGGTGCTCTTAAGGGGCCTAGACAGGCAGGTTGTTGAGCTTATAACTTGATTGGCTGTGAACAAACTGCTGCCACAGCTGATAGCTCACAAGTCTGGTGTGAGCAGGGCAATACATAAATGTCATTAATTATAAGAAAGAAAAAGCCAGAGGTTGCTGTCCACTGGCAGCAATACCCGTGTAAATTTTTTTAATGAGTCAGAGTTTTGGCACATGAAGCAAAGTGCTTCACTTCCCTTTAAATAGGTTAAATGTGTGCATTAATTTGAGGGGATTGAGGCCGACCTCAGATCTCATGTCATTTAGCAAATGGCTGAGTCTGTAATGTGATCTGCTGCTTAGAACATCTTTGCTGTCCACTTTACCAATTAAACAAAATTTTAGAAATGAATAATGTTTATAGGTTTCTACCTATAAACTTTGATCTCTAATACATGGATATCCAGCTTTAAAGGTGTAAAGTTGACACCTATGATATGACCCAAAAGTTGGACATTAACAGTGATATGTATGCAATCTCTGTACTTTTTTTTTTATTTTTTACATGTGGTCACCTTCCAAAAATAACGGCCTATGTAATTTTTTGTGAAAAGTTATTTTGGCCAAAAAGTCACCACCTTTCTTTCGAAGAGATGTTTTAGGCAATAAAAATCACTTTTAACTTAGTCCATTATTGTGACAGTATTATATAATTTATAAAATATTACTTATTATATGTTAAATATTATTTCTCTGTTTAGTTCTCTATTATTGTGTGATAATATTATCATCAGAATAGGCCATGTGGGAGAGATCATAATCGGCCAATTTTTGTGAAAAACTGCATGATCGCTGATTGCCGATTACTGTCTCTTGTTACCGATCACCAAAACCGATCGTCTGTATCTCACTTCGCAGCCAGCGTATCTCCTCTTTCCTTCACAATGCGCTAGCGTGAGGCAACAAATCCCGTCCTGTGGAACTTTAACACTGAGCATAAATGGGGACGTTTGCGTGTTGCAGCGTAAAATTCCCTCAGGGCTGAAGCATGTCAAAACACAACAAATGTAATATGGCATTTAAAAAACAAAAACTTGACAGAGTTTGGCTTTATTGAGGTAGGAAAAAAAGGACATCCGGAGCATCATAGTCAGAAAAATAAACCAAAAAATAATTCAAGTCTTCGAGCTGGTGGTGTAAGACACTGGGATCTGCTCTCGCTCTTGAACCGCTACTACGCGGTACTGGTAGTAATATTTCACAGACGTGACGCCGCTCAACCTCCACCAGACAGTGAACTCTCACACCGAACAGCTGCTTAAAGATGCAGCATGTAACTTAAAAAAAACAAAAAGAAGTTTAGATATGTATTAAAATGTCTATTATATCTAAATTAGGTGAATTTATTAACAGATCATTTTTCCATTTTGCCAGATAACATAATATCAGTAGTAGCACACTGGCAGAGTTTGATGACAGAAATCAATGGCTTATAGAAGTGTGGGAGCCTCATATCAGACTTCTGTGTAATCTATTTTTTTCAAGTAAACCATCAAGTCAGTAGCGCTGACTTGGAATATGAAAAATGAATGGAGCTTATAGCTCACTTCTCCGGTCATTTTATTCCACCTAAACTGATAAGAGAACGGTCCTCCTTTATTGTGTGTTGAGAAGGCTGAGAGCTATTTGTGTAAAAATAAGTTAGTAGGTTGGCATTAATAAAAAGAAGCCCATTTATTATAGTCTAATCTATTCTTTTGACTTTGACATTTTCATCTCCGACTGTTGTCCTCGTCTCACTTTATAGATTAGCACATTTTATTTTAAAATCTGAACCACCTCTTTATTTTTTAACTAAAATACAGCACTTTGTTTCAAACATAGTAATACTGTTTATTTATTACATGTATATTTTTAACCAAACTTCCAATCTCTTTGCTCAATTATTATTTTTCCTAAAAAAAAGACCAAGCATGAAATCTTGAAGGTTAGTCTCGTTATTACAAGGATTTATGCAAAATTTTCAAAACACACTATGAGTCTGTAAACTATTTTTATCTTTGTGTTCTATATGTTTTTGAATTGAGGTGGTTTGCATCTGTTTTGAGGATCACTGGGTTAGACTACAGTTTTTCCATCTCTCCTTGAACTGCACTCATTTTAGCTCAGTATGTTTTTAAACTTGTCATCTTTCCTTAGGAGCTAGTTCAGACACAAATCCAAGCTGCAGAACCTCCTAGACATCCAGAATTTTCTGTTATAAAGCTTGTGCAGCAGATGTCTTCAGATGGGTGAATTTAAGTTTGGATGCACACAACACTGAAGTGTTTGCCTCCACATTTGGAGGTGAGCAAAGCCAAATCCACAGCTATTTGTCTAGGCTCTAAAATATCCGTGGTCCACATAGTCTCTGGTAGACAAACTGTCCCTAACTTTTCAGAGTAAAGTTGCCATTGACTTCTTTGCAAGAGAAATAATAAAGAAGCAGAGATCAGTCTGGCACAGATCTCCATTTGAAAACAATTCCCTGCAAATGTATTCAAACTTTGTCTGCATTATAGATGAGAAGTCAAAGAAAGAAGAAACGCATAAAAACTCATGAAGCATGAGTTCATGTGCTTTGGGGATTTTCTTGTTTATTTGTTTTTTGAAGAACTAAAACGTATAAAGTTCAAACTGCTCCCTCTGAAAACATGTTTCCCTGAAGTTTGTGTTAGTTTTATGTCAGGAAGATGTGCTCGGATCTGCTGGGTTTTCTGCTTGTCATAAAAATCACTGTAGACTGATGTTCTTTTAATATATAATTTATAGATCTTAAACACCAAACCTCCTCTGATTTTACAGAGGTGGCACTAGTGAGTTATATAACCATAACAAAACAACTTCAAAGAGTTGTAATAAATAAGACAGAAACTGATTTTATGTCAAATAAGATTTCTTCACATGTCATCTGTTTAAGAGAAAGTGCACAAATACCTTTTTTTTTCAAATGCAATAAGACACTATCATGAGATTTCCAATATGCTTGTAAAACAGATTTTTTCTAAATGTACAAGGCTTGTTTGTTTCTTTAGAGAAATTGATTTTCTAAAACAGTTTTTCTAAATGAAAAATTATTTAGATACTTTGATTTGATTTATCTTAGACAATAATAGCAATGTAATTTTCTGTAATAAAAACAATGTGGCTCTGGAAATATGACAAGAAACCAAGAAGAAAACCATGAGTCAGCTGTGATTTCTTTTGACAGAAAGACATGTCAGTTAAACAGAGAAATGATACAAATCCTGTTTCCAGCTTAAAAGATTCTAAAGACTCCTTCATAACTTGGCGCATTTGGTTCCCAGTGGATTGTGTCCAGAGAGTCAAACATGCATCCCTGTTCCAACACAATTGTTGACTTATTTCTAAAGTCTGTGACCAAATTCTACATGAATAAATAACGTGTTTGTGCATTTGTCTTTTGATTAAACTTTTTACCACATTTTTCTGGATCTTTACATTTTAAGATGTTTAAATGAATTAAACTTTTCACAATTTACAAAAAGAAGCCTATTTAGGCACTATGCTAATCATTGAATCTATAACCTCCTTCACATTTGTCTCCAGAGTTTGCCTTACAAATCTTGGCTTATTAATCTCACCAGCTGCAAAGTCCTGTATGAAAATAAAAAGGAAGAGTGTTTTCTGCTTGCTCATTATGAAAGGAATTATCATAAGAGGTGGAGAGGGGACTATTTTCACCGTGGACATCCGTAGTTGCTGAAACTGCCTCTGATTTTATGACTCTGAGAGGAAAACTGGAATCATTTTTGTTGTTGAGACCTGATGAGGAGCCTGGGCAGAGGCCACGGTAAATGGAAGTAAATTAGTGAGATGGCCAGCCCTAACCACAGCTCACTTGGAGATGAGTGGAAAGTGAGATCTTTAATGAAGTAGTGAAATTGAGGGGGCGTGATGGTTACCTGTTTGATGATGAAAGCTGGCAGTGCAGCTGCTGCTCTGTCGCTGCATGATGGAGCTCAGCTCACATGTTCAGAAATTCACTCTCTCGTTTTCTTGCTTTTATATGTTCTTTTTACTTGTCCTTCAACCTCATGCTATCGAACTCTTTCAAGAGCTCATGATACTGTCTAAGATATGTATAATAAGACCTTCACTGACAGTTTGGACTAGATGTCAAATGCTCCAGTAATAGCATATCGTACTTGACTTGACTCTTGATCATTCCTCCCCTGTGGTCTCTATTCTTGTTGTGCCAGCTCCTGGCAAATGAAATTGTTTACATCTACATCTCTGGTCTGAATCTGTACCAAATAACTTTCAAATCACATATTTCTTTCTGAGTGCTAACTTACTGCACCCCCTATATTCACAGCAAATTGTATTACATAGTTGGACATACATTACGTTGACAGTATTCTCTTCTTCTGATCTTCTCCATGTTTACTGTATTACAA